CTATCTATCTATCTATCTATCTATCTATCTATCTATCTATCTATCTATCTATCTATCTATCTATCTATCATATTTACATAGCCACCCATCTCACACAAAGTGACTCTGTCAGTTTAAAGACTAATGTTGCTTTGTTATGTCGGCATTTGGCAAAAGCCTGCCAAGAGTCCTTTTTCCTCCCCCAAACCAGTAGGTTCCTGATGTATTGTGTCTGTCACTCCTGTCATCCTATATTTTCATTCCCCTCTGCTCTTTCTTATGCATTCCTGATTTCTCAGCCGAGGTACCTTTATGAGATCCAGTCTGGAAAAGCGGTTAAAGGCACTGGACCAGGAGATGGTGAATTCTAGGCCTCTCTTAGGCATGGCTGGGTGACTTTGAGCCAGTCTCTCTCTCTCAGCCCAACCCACCTCACAGGGTGGTTGTTGTGAGGAAAATAAGGGGTGGGAACATAATGTATGCTGCCTTGAGCTGTACAGTAATAGTAATGCAATTTCCAGTCTGTCTGGTCAAACCTGGGAATGCTGTTCCCTACTAGCTGTATATAGCAGAGCTGAAGAGAAGATCCAGGGCACAGTTATCTACCCCTCTCCTGCTCTTGGGGACCCTTTTGCACATGAAAAAGCAGGTAATGAGTTCACAAAACAAAAGAGGGAAGCACTTCAGCCTTATGCCTAGAGGACCAAGACCCTGAGGTCCCCCTGAGAACAGCAGAGGGACCCCAAGGTTGTGTTCTCTTCCCTTGGTGTGTGTGTGTGGGGGGGGGGACCAGCAAAGCACCTTTGGCCTCAGTTCCTTTCTCTCCCTGCTTCCCTGTGTGATAATATAAATGTAGTCTCAGATATGAGTTGCTTTAGCCTCGTTTTGGAACAACTGCTGCTAGAGAATGGGCATTTAGTTCTCAACAGGTCATACCTTGCTACCGAGAGCCTGAATTGGGCAAAGGGGGAATTATGGGATGTAGTAAGCAGAGGATGCATCTTCACAATATCTGGCACATGCCCTGCATGTTAGTC